CTGCTGCTGCAGTCCGAGGCGGCCGGCTCCACGCCCGCGCCCGCCGCGCCCACGGCGCTGCCTGCCACGGACGCGCGCGTGCTCTCCGAGGAGCAGCTGCGCGCCGACGCCGAGCGGCGCCTGCCTTCGCTGCCGCTCACCTACTGGCACAAGCATAAAGACGATAAAAATAAGTTCCTTAAGAAAAAAGACTGCGCGCCGTTTCCCTCCATCTACGAGCTGGAGTTCCACAACACGTACTGGCAGTCGTTCCACTCGAGCCAGGGCGTGTTCCACATGTACGGCGCATACCTGGACGCGCGCAACACGTCGCGCATCGGGCCTGCTGTGCGCCTGCTGGCCGTGCACGACCGCATCCAGCCGTCGCTAGTGACGCACTGCCAGCTGTGGTTTGAGGAGATGGACGCGCCCGTCGTAGTACGCGTGCTAGAGTACAAGTACGTATGGAACAGCAAGTGGGGCAACTACCGCAACCACGTACTGCACCCGTACCTGCTGGCCTGCGTGCTGCCGGCCGAGGTCCGCCACCTGGCACCCGCGTCCGTGTCGCTGGTGGAGAACGCCTGCGACCGCGCCACCAACAACCTGCGAGTGCACTACGACAGGCCCAAGCCGCCCGCCCAGCGCAAGGACTTTGCTGTTTGCGTCAAGGGCTTAGATTTTTTGCACGAGGACCTTTCCGTGCGACTCGTTGAGTGGATCGAACTAGTCCGCCTACTCGGAGCCGACAAAATATTCTTTTACGAGCTGCAGGTGCATCCGAACATCACGAAGGTGTTAGAGCACTACGTGCAGCAGGGGACGGTGACGGTGACGCCCGTGACGCTGCCGGGCGGGCAGCCCAACCTGCCCGGGCTGCAACACATGTACCTCAAGAAGAAGCTGACGCACAAGCGACAGATGGAGCTGATCCCGTACAACGACTGCCTGTACCGGCACATGTACGAGTATCGCTGGCTGGCGCTGCTCGACATCGACGAGGTGATCGTGCCCCTAGAGGACGGGGACTGGTCGTCGCTGATGCGGCGCGTGCTGCCGCTGTCCAAGCCGGCCCAAGGCAAGCCGCCGCGCTCGTCGTACCACGCCACCAACATCTACTTCCTGGACTCGCTGGGCCACGAGCACGGCTGGGAGGAGGGCGTGCCCCACTACATGCACATGCTGCAGCATGTCACGCGCACGCGCAACTTCACCAAGCCCGGCCAGTACATCAAGGTGAGTTGTCACTTAGCCACTCTATATATACCGTACACTGAACCCATGTTCAATAGCACTACTGCTGCACTGCATCAGAAATGAGGATCGAAGTCATGAATTATACAGGGTCGTAGTTGCAGGTCCACTCCACATTTAAAATAGAACTACCTACGTAGTTATGTAAGAGGATGTACTGAAACTGACATAAATAAAATGAATCATTCTTAACATTCCAACTTTCTAACAAATCATTGTTTAGCTTCTCTGCCTCAAACGTATTCCATACATCATAATCCCCCCAAAAATTAAATTAATGATTGATCCATCTGTGTAAAGTATTTTATCAATCATTACTTTTGTATATGTAATAGTTTTGTCTGAAACATTTTCTGGGGGTTATGAAATTAAACTAGACATCTGTAATTGTGTGTGCCCAGATAGATTCAGTTTGTTGAAAAAGAAATAGTTTTGGCGCCAGAACAGCACAAGCTGCACAAGGTACATTTCAATGCATTTAGGGAATTTGATTGTGTTTGTTACATGCTTCTAAAATTTTGCATAAGTAATCATAATTCTGGGGGATGCGAGAACTATCTCCCGCCATTACCTTTTATTAACTTGGCTGAATTAGACTGACATTTCAGATTTTAAAATTAAATTAAGTACATAAACTAAATATAAAACTATACTTCACATTTTTATACGTTACCTAAATGAAAACGTTGTACTGAACTATGAATGTACAGAAAGTAATCTGAAAAACGTGGGAATATATATATACGTATAAGTAAAATACATATATGTTATTAAGCGAAGCGTCGTGTGTTGCAGGCGTTCCACGAGACGGACCGCGTGCTGAGCCTGCACAACCACTTCCCGCTGGCGTGCCTGGGCGGCGCGTGCAGCTCGTACGCCATGGAGACGAGACACGCGCGCCTGCAGCACTACCGCGCCGACTGCGTGGCCACGCTCAAGTCGTGCCAGGAGCTCAAGACGGACCCCGTGCGCGACGAGGCGCTGTGGCGCTGGCGCGAGCCGCTCGTGGCGCGCGTCGACGCCGTGCTGCGCGCGCTCTCCTTCCTGCCGCCGCTGCCGCACCGGTGACCGCCGCCCCCCCTCCCCCCGTTAGTCTTATGTATTAAATGCTAGTATTAAACTTATTTTTATAGTTATTGTACTAATTGTTTCATTCGACACTTTTCTTCCATTGACTTTTCTTTGGGTGAGCCTTCATAATTCTTCCTAGTCAGAATCTAGAACGGGCAATGGAGACCGATCCAGTACCTATGTATGTAACGAGATAGTCCGAAGTTAGATGATAGAGGAAAGTGACCAAATATGGAATACCATTTTGTTTCTTACACATAATTTTCCCAAACGAAAGGGCTCACTCGACTGATATGTCACAGCCTGTACCCGCAGATGGGGATAGAAACAAAGAGACAAACAGTGTTTCTTGCGTGTGTGAATTATATTTTGTTAGTATTGCCGGTATTTCACTTTCCTCTACTATGACATTAGGCATTGAGATTGTACAAAACATTATCATACATCTAGGCTCCTTACACACATTTGTCAATTCAGTGTTCAATGTGACGGAGACAGCACGAAGCGCGCCAAAAACACATTTGGAACTCGAGGAATGCGTTGTTGAATATTGCAAGTCTACAACACACTATAGTATTATAAATGTTAAACTATCTTTGTTTGGATTTTTGGATGTTTGTCCGTCAATCACGCTGAAACTACTGAACGGATTTTGATGAAATTTGGTATACAAGTAGGGTATGGGCTCCCGTGGGTTAAAATAGGAATACGCGAGCAAAGCCACGGGTAAAAGCTAGTAGAAAAGGAATAACTTTTCAGAAGAAAATGTCATGTTAATGCAGTAATTGAAGTAAAAATGTAAAACTTTAAAAAACAATAATTAAATTATCCCAATGTGAGTGCGGCGTTGCCACAAAATATTTGTTGAGTTTCCCACATTGATGTAGATGATGAAACAAGTGACATTGTGTCTCTGATTTGAAACATTGAACATTACGCGCGTCTGCTGTCGCTGGAGGCTTGCACGCAACACATACACCCATTGTTACCACTTACTATGTTATCAGTAATTAAATAATATTATATTAATTTTATTTGGAAATACATAATGATAATATAACTTACTACTTCGTTGGTTGAGTGTCAGGTTCGATTCCCGGATCGGGCAAAGCACTACTGGGTTTTAAAAAATAAATCAGTAGTAGCACGGAGTCTGGAAATGTGTCCGGTGTATGGCAATAGTGGGTGTTACATTGTACAGTGGCATTAAGTGCCGTAATGTGCACCTCTGCCTATCCCTTCGGGGATAAAAGGCGTTATGTTATGTTAAAGTCAAAGTCAAATTCAAAATCATTTATTTCAATTAGGCCAGAATGGCACTTTTGAACGTGGACAAAAATAAATTAAAAGTTAAGCTATTTGCTCATTCCAAGATGTAGATTCCTATGGAGAAGAACGAGGAAAAAACTTTTTCAATCAGGTTCACAATACAATTTACTAGTTACATAGTTTTGCTGTTTGGGTTGTGCGAGAACAGTGTAACACTAAAATCCAGTCAAAGTGATCGAAAAAGAAAATAACCTTAAGGACAATAATACAGTCTGGAGCTGACCAGTCCCAGTTGATGGCGCCCGTTCACGAACATGACACGTACACCAGCACCGCCCAACTCAACCATATTGTAGGGAATCGAGCGATCCACTGCACGCGCCACCGCCAATGAGACCTTTAAGTGAGCATGACAACTCCAGGTTAGGTTATGTATTACAACCCCGCTGTTAACACATTGAATATAGCGTTTTATCTTTAGCACTGAGGAATGTAAGACGAGATGATGTTCGCTAGTTCCCCGAACGCTGCCCGTCCAAGTTGTATTTGACGATGTGTTGACGATTGACCTCCTTCTCGAAACATGACCCCCAGCTGGATCACCTGTCCTAGGTACACCTTCGTCAACAATGTTGAGAGTAGAGAGTAGGGCTCCCAACTAATATCGGGTAGTAGGGCGTAACATGGCCGTCCGACAGGACTTTAATCTTTAAACTAATTTTGCTCCTAAATGGTCCTTGAATTGTACTTTGCGGCGATCTGGCACCATGACTGCTTATTTTGCAAAAAAGGTGTCGAGACAAAATATAGAAGATGTCATTAGTTTCATTTTGTAATCCACGTGTTCCAAGGCGGCGGCGTGAGCGGCGCACCGCGCACGTACGATGGTATTAAAATGGAAATCGGAAGAAGCACATCAAAGTCTACAAAATTGCCAATTCCGAAGACTCCTGGAAAACATTCCAGACAACACGACCTACTCACTGGAATACTTGCAGAATTTATTAATCTAGGTTCGGAGGTGGTCGATCGCAGAAAATGCTTTAACCAGCTGCAGCTTGGACAAACTTCTTCCGAACTAATGAACCGCTGCTGTTTGTTCGTCGTTTTACTTCTCCTCATGTCTTATTGTTGGCATTGAGTAAGTAGGTTTAATTTTTTACTTTAACATGTTGTCTTGCAGTGGCGTGAGTGACAAACATCAACTTACATCTTACACTCCTCATACCCAGACCAACAATTTGTGGATCACACAAAGACTTGTTCCATCCGGCTATCGAACATGCGACACGTCGTATAGCAGCTGGGTGTCCAGCCTTGCGCCAACTGAGCAGTCCAACCCGTAGTGGCAACAGGCAATAGACAAAACAATTCCAAAGCAATAATTTATAGTGTTAAATGTTATAAGTTTTACTTTGAGTTCAGTCTTTGGTTAGTATTCCAATTTGTATTCCGTACTTGAAGTTCCAATATTTTGACACTTTATTAATAACTAATTAGGTAAGCAGAAGTACAATATACGTACCAGTGTTGATGGATTATTACTTTTACAACAAATGAGTCATTTTAGGCAAAGTCCTAGTCCTAAACGACTAAGGTTGTCAGTAATGATAGGTATTTGTTCACCATATCGAATGCTTTTCTATAATCAAAATATAAGCTATCTATACAATTATAGATGGCGTATATTTTGCTAATGCATCGATTATTATTATCCAGTCTGGAAGATACGTAGTCCACAATAGTGACTTAGGGGCTTACTCTTGAATCCAATTCCGATCGATCGACATTGGTATTGTGAAATTTCGTACTCTCGAGTTGCAACACTAGCGCCCATTGCATCTGTATTCGTTGGATATTGAATGAACTAAATGGTATCGAGTTTGGCTTTATATTCCGTACTCTGAATGCTATTTCAGCAGCTACGATTGTGGTTTTTTTTTCAGCTACGATTGTGGTTGTATAGTTTTCACATTGAATCATTATTGAGATTTTATTGGATTGAAATTGCATTGACATTGAGATTGGTTTCAAGAGTAAGCACCCGGGTCTAAAGCCGTATTGTTCAGAACAATTTATTATTGTTAAAGCCCTGGCTAATGAGACAGGCTGGCTCAGATTCAGAGTGTACTATGTTTGGTAGTAGACTAGTAGCCGCGTGGAGGAGGTCAATGTGAGCTCCGCTCCGCAATGGAGGCATCGATCGACTCGTCAAAGTTCATATAATATCTTAGGCACCTATTTTGTTGGAAGCTCATCGTTGAGGTGATCTATCACCTGCTCATTGGCTGTAGATACTATAAAAAAATACAACTTTAACGGCGGGCGACATACGCTGGGACATGACGCATGCGCAAACCCGTGACCGCGACACGTGCTGTGGTGACTGCGGCAGGCGCTGTGCTGCGACATCTTGCCGACCGAGTAACAATGATAGTGTAAGTATATATATTGATACTGTGTGTGTGCGGCCAGTGCGGCGTACGGTGCGCACCATACGAGAAAGATCAAGAAGACGACTTCATGAAGTCGGTTAAAAATTAAGTACTTACTGAAAATAAACAAAAGGGCAAAAAGTTACTAGGTAGTATCAGTCATATGGATGGTCACCGACCCATTGTACACACACCCATAACAAAATAGTAGTTAATGATCACAGCAATAGTCTGTAATGAGAACGAGTGCAACTTAATACATGGTATCTGTTAAGGCTTTAATTAATTTTGTTCAGAACTTGTGGAGTTGTGGCACAGAGTTCTGACCACAGAAATATGTGACCTATCAGTGGGTCGGTGACCTATCAGTACTTATAATAGTAAATGAAAGAAAGTTTAACTTCTCACCATGGAAGACTTTGAACTTGAAGGTACAGTCATTGTTATTATCATCAGACCCGTTACATCACTTTTCCATTTCCCACGTGGGAGTAGAGATCTCATTCGCATAGTAAATTAATCAAACACAATGTAGCCACTGTCCCCCGTCGAGGAGTTCCCTTAGCTATGGTACTTACTACTTCATCAACAAACCCCTACTGAAAATCATCAGTGTCAAGTTCTCATCAACAAATGAACACTGGGTAAACTGTTAGTTTACTCGACTGTCTATCGGCTTCATCAGGTCAACTCCAGACCTTCATCAAATTGTAGTGCTTAATACTGAATAAAAAAATATCTACCACATGAACTAGTGACAACTACAATTTTTTAAATTTCCCTGGGTATTATCGACACCATCTCAGAACAACATGTGATTTTTATAATTATCATCAAACTGGATCCATTCTTGATATTAAATTTGTGCCTACTTCGATATTGAATTTATAGATACTTACCTCGAAGTGTTGGTTGTAATAGATTCCATAGATGTCGCTAGCCGTGCTGTGCACGTGCTCACGTGCCCCTACGCTGGACGCCGGAACTCCAAACTGGGATAATATAATGGCTCTGTACAATGTCGTTGTTGTGTGTGTGGCGGTTCATTGTGCTACATTGTCCATTTGCGAGTGACGTCCTATAGCACAGGCGGCAAGTATTGCAAGGAGTTTCTCGAATTTAAACCGAGTTGTTCTCTAGTCAGGTGATTTACGTCAGGTAAGGAGACTTCATAGCTGGTAAATTATTGACAAAACATTAACCTTTAATTTTTTTATGTGGTGTAAAAACCGGCGAACGAGCAAACGGATCATCTGATGGCAAGTAATCGGCGTCGCCCATGTACACCTGGAACACCAGAAGCGTTACAAGTGCGTTACCGGCCTTTTGGGGATTAGGTGCTTGAGGATTGTTGGGGATTCAGGGATTGGGGACATTGGGGAAGGGGAGGGTAACTGGGCCTCCGGTAACCTCACTCACACGACGAAACGGCTTATTGGACGATTCGCACGAATTTAACTCGCACGAAACGTGCGAATCGACTCCTTTAAAACATATTATTTTTTCTGTAGTCGATTCGCACGAATTACATTTATTGGCGTGCGAATCGACACCCTCACAAATATGTAGTAGGCTATTCGCACACATTTCGTTTTTTTATGAAATGCAGTTAAGATAAAGTACACTTGAGCACAGAAGTAGTAAGGTCAAATTTGTTTGACTCGTAATAGACAGAAAATCAAAACACAATCTAGAGGTATAATCAACAATATCTATATGTAACGTGTATACTTGCAAAAATGGTGGTACGCAGCTTTTGAACATCCCATCGCAGAAAACGCTTTCTGCTGTTTCAATAATTATACTTTGTAACATTTTGGTTTGCAAAAAGTGTAATTGTTTTCTTATATCCATAATCAGCAACCTTCACATCTTCGTAACATGGAGGAATAATAAGATCTGTAACTTTTTTAATCTCAATTTTTTTATCTGTAGTGATATGTTTCTGTGCCGATAGAGACTTTTTTTAATATTTTTAAAATCAGGAACTTTTATGAGAGTATGAGATCTCATCCAACATTATGCAAGTCCGAAACCATTTCACTATACATTTTTGGTATAGTTGTGAGCTCTTTCTCCGATCGTTTAATGCATTTGTCTAATTGATACTTCATTTCATTTTCTTTGACGCTTGGTTGGCATGAATGAGGTTATTCTTTTGTTAACAGGAGATCATTATTTGTACGCAAGAGTGCTTTACAACGTTGTCTATTGACGCACCTCCAGACTGTAACACCACTGTCAAGTAAATATCTGCTGTTTGAACTTCCATAATTTTTTATTTTTATTTCAATGATGGCTGAATACGACTGTACTTTAATTTTTTTAAACCTTAAAACGAAATGTGTGCGAATAGCCTACTACATATTTGTGAGGGTGTCGATTCGCACGCCAATAAATGTAATTCGTGCGAATCGACTACAGAAAAAATAATATGTTTTAAAGGAGTCGATTCGCACGTTTCGTGCGAGTTAAATTCGTGCGAATCGTCCAATAAGCCGACGAAAGGCTTACAACGCAAGCGTTGCTTTACGTCGGTTTTCTGCTCGTTAGTGGTATCACTCCGGTCGAGCCGGCCCATTCGTGCCGAAGCATGGCTCTCCCACACTTAAATGTACAATGTTTGAGAATTGTAATATCGCGAAGTGTTATAACTTTACAAGTAATTTAGAAGTAACCAGGGGTCGGTCCTCGGTGCTCGGGTCGGAGTACACTCGTACAGTACGTAGCTACCTACCTGTGTACCTACTGTATCATACGGCGCAGTATATTATATTTATATGCAGTCAGCTAAGTTATTTGGTATGCAATGCAGGAACAAAATAAAGATTGCTTTAATATATGTATTTATTTATTTTTCTTTATATATTTACAACAGCTATACGATTTGATTAAATAAATTCGACAAAACAAAATAGGGTCCACCGACGAAAATTTTGGTATATTTGTCTTGAAATAAGTAATGAGGACTTGATTACTAAAATAAAGCATTTTATTATGTAGTTAACATGTTCATAACATAACTTCTAATATTCCAGACAAAAGTTTAAGCATTTTATTTAAGTAGGTAAGCAGAAATAGTGAAGAGGTTGAAACAATGTGATATTAAGATATTTTGTCTTGTGTTCATGGTGTGAGTGTAATCGTGGAATGTTGCTTGTTGTGAGAGTTTTGTTTGGTTTGTGCGTTCATTGTGAATGCTGTGTCTTTAAGTAAATTTAAAACATCTATTAAGCGCAAATTATGTAATCAAGCTTACTTACATACACACACTGACAGATTACCTTAAAGATAAGAATGCTTGGCAACATGTTGGTTCGGCTCCACTGGACAATACTCAAATGTAGGCAGTAGTTAAATTCCAATAGTAGGTAATATAATACATAATTTAATACTTTAATTCTAATGTAGACAATCTAGTTTCCTTATGGCATCGAGCATTTCTTTCTTTATTGAAACAAAGAGTTTCTTTTTCTTGTATAGAAGCACTATTTCTATGGGTTGTCAGTATGCATATGTGAGCGCCATGTTAGACTTAAGATTTTTATTTTTTTTTATATTAGTAAGTTATTAGTATAATGCGTCAAGCGTGTCTTTGCATTGTTCTTACATATGCGTACAGTATTGAAATATGTATCAGAGACATTGTAGAACATACTTTTTTTTAAAAGAGTAACGAATAGAGTTTTTTTGCTCGTTCTTCTCCATTCGAATCTACATTTTGGAATGAGCACCTAGCTTCGCCTAGCGTCACTGACGGACTGACTGACAGACTATTATTTATTTTGTATTTGTTGACGTTTCAAAAGTACCCAATTATGGTTTAATTGAAATAAATGCTTTGACTTTGACTTGGCGGAACATTAAAACGAAGTCTTTGCAATATCTCAGAGCAGTCAGTGTCATTAGATAGTATTTTTAACATAAATGAAACGTCCGCCAGTTGTCGCCTGTTTACAAGGGGTTGCAACAGTTGCAAGCGAAATCTCTTGCAAAGATTCAATTAATTTGCACTGTAATAATCAATTTTCAGACACATAAAACATACAAATTTTACAAACCCCTTCAGGATGTTTTCAATTCGATCGATATATTTATTATAATGTGGGGTCCATATCTGAGAAGGATACTCTTACAACATTTGAATGTGTTTGCTTGCTTAAAACACCTAGATATTCTCATGAAAAAACCTCGCTTTCGCTTTCGAAGCCCTCCTGTCCATATTTGATCAATATGGACATCGAACTGAAAGTCTTGCACCATGATAAACACCAAGCTCACGCACTCCGTCACACCTTCGCAGAACCTGGCCTTTCAGCTCGTCCGGATGAATCATCGGGAACCGCTTTCTTCTAAAATACAGCATTTTACGAGATTCAACACTAGTTGAATCTCGTTCACTAGTTGAAAGAGCCTGGATGAGTACTAACTCATCCAGGCTCTTTAAGTTATCCTGGAGAGCCAGCATATCCTCCACCGATGTTGTTTTTAAGAAAATCTTCATGTCGTTAGCAAACTAAGATAAGAAGTATGGAAGCAGAGGACCATGTCACTCACGTATAAGATGAAAAGCAGGCCAACTAGAGATCCCTGCGGAACACCAGACAGAACCAGATCGGATAAGTGCTAGGGTATACATGTTTGCTTGGAACACTCGTATACTTTGAGTGCATCTCCTACGAAACTTTATTAGAAGTGATTTAATGCATTCCTCCAATGATACATTTCTAAAAATAATCTCCCAATCAGTGCTGAATAAATCTATGTTGATTGCATGAAGTCTCCCTTACTATAGAGAAAATTTGGTAAAATTTACGTATATTAATAGGGCCCGATGATACTAAACTTGTCCATCGGTGCTAGGGGTAGCAGTACTAGGCATTCACTAACAGATATGGTATCAGTACATGTTCAGAGAGTAGCCATTGGTTGGCAACTGAATCTACCGATGCATACATTCGACATGGCTTCATTGTAACGCATACAATATATAATGGTATAACAATAACTACTGTTTTTGTACAAAATCAATTTTTATACAAAAACAACATAACATCACGCCTTTTATCCCCGAAGGGGCAAGCAGAGGTGTACATTATACCACTGTACAATGTAACACCCACTTTTCACTATTTGTGTTATCCCTTGTAATAGGGGGTGAGCCTATTGCCATAATACCGGGTACAATTCCAGACTCCGTGCTACTACTGAGAATTTAAAAAAAGCCCAGTAATACTTTGCCCGGCCCGTGCTTGCCTAAGGCGCTCTCTAAGTTTAATCTACCTCTGCTTCGCTCACATGGTCAAATACAAAAACTGATTATATCTGCACTTAAAGTTTACTTCCCCAGGAATCAAACAGCTGTTCTGCTGTCTGTTAGTGAAAACCGTGAAAAATCCATTCTATACGGATAAACACGAAAGAGTAATGATCTGTAATACAAACACAGTCGTGTCCTACCATGTGTGGTGTATCGTATAGAGGCAAGTACTCAGTGCGTCTCCCTGAACTCCGCTGTCCGCTGTCGGGTACCTAGCAGCTGTTGTGTCAGGAAGCAACGTGTGCTCGTGTAATACTAGCGCCCGTAACGCTGTACTTGAACCTACTTCGAGTGCTTTCGTCACACTCACAATACATGTACGAATGATGCGGGGGCGCAATAAAAGAGGTCAGCTGTAGGGGAAGTGTTTATTATGCTAGTCGATGAGGGGCGCGGGGGCGCAGGGTCGTGGTGGCTTACTGCTTGCTGGCGGCCTCGTGCACCTTCTTCTGTACCTCCTCGACGTGCTTGGAGAAGTTCTCGTACGCTTCCTTCAGCTTGGGCGCCAGCTTCTCATTGGTCTCTTCGACGTTGCTGGCCACCTCCTTGGCGAGCTTCTGCACCTCCTGCGACACAACACAAGCGTTCACTACTGCCGCTCTGAACTACATGTTTGTTACATAATGTATACCAGTATCGGCCACATGTTACATCAACCAACACACACACACACACACACACAGCTCCGCGAGTCGTTTATCTGCCGATGCGCATGATGTGGGCGCAGGTCGACACGCCGCGTGGCTCTCTGTTACTATACCAGTGATAACAGTGGTCGCGACTTCGCGAGCGCTGTCTGTCTACCTACACCTTTGCCGACCCTGTCCGACGTCCGTCAGACTACTACAGTACTACACTAGTTTACACAAATTTGACCATACCGTGCGTCACCTGCCTCGGTTGTCGACTTAGATTTGATCCCTTGCTCGGGCAAGGTATTATTTGAATATTTCCAGTTTCCAATGACTCTTACTGACCAAAATTCATCCAGCCTCGGTAGGCGGTAACCTGTTAGGTTGCCTACAGCTCCGGGCTCAAAAAATGCCTGCTGTTGTATTAACATTATGTGAATATATGTATAATTGTATGTGCCCTGTACGGGGCGGTACCTGTGCGGTGTTCTGCACGGCGGCCTGCAGCTTGGTGCGGAGCTCGCCTGCCTGTCTCTCCACGTCGGGGTGTGACTTGCGGAGGTCCTCTGCTGTCTTCTCGAGGTTCTGGCGCGCCTGCTCCAGCGCGGTCTTGGCTTTGGCGTTGGCGTCGGTCATCTGTGTCGAACATAACGCACATCACTGCACTGACTGCACTACGCTGATACGTGTAGGCTGGCGCCGGGGACGCCGGGCCGCCGGGCCGCCGGGACGCCGGGACGCCGGGACGCCGGGACGCCGGGACGCCGGGACGCCGGGGCTATCGCTATCGGTACTCACCGCACTCTGCAGGCTGCTGGACAGCGCGGACAGTTGCTGCAGCACGGAGTCAGAGCCATCCTTGATGGCCTTGTTCACTTCCTGCGTGTTCTTCGAGTTGGCGATCGAGTTCAGTTGTTCAGAGAAGGTCTTGTGGATCTCTGCGGCGTGCTTTTCGATGTCCTGTAGGAGAGTGTTTGCGGGCGGCGCGTCGCGGCGCACCATGGCGGCATGGCTCTGTGGACATAACATTCTATCAGCGCATTGCTGCAGCAGGCCCTACATTCGCAGGAGTCGGAGCTGACACTTACCAGCGCGATGCAAGCGACCAATACGAACAACTTGGCGGCCATTGTGATGCTCTTCACTGACAGGAGACGGAAATACTTCGAAACGTTTGCGTCTGCAACAGACAACGAATGTGGTGACTGATCGAGTGTGGCTCGTTATATAGTGCTCGGACAGATAAGCGCTCGCGATAAGGGGCGGGCAATGCCGGGAGGCGAGCCACCCCGCACGGTAAAATTTTCCTGGGGCTGGTGTATCCTCGCCCCCGCGCCCCCGCGCCCCCGCGCCCCCGCGCCCCCGCGCCCCGGCCCTGCTGACCCCGCGCCCCCGCGCCCCGGCCCTGCCCTCTGCACCTTGCCTGTTTACAAACACGCAGCCATCCGGGTGCGCGCCGGTGACCGCGCCGCGATAGCGCTGCACTAGCGCCCCTCACATGTCTAGGCCACTAGGCTGGCACATTCCTCTACTTGCTAATTCATTTACGAATAGGTATTGCAACAGGAAGATGAACATCGTGGAAATTATCATTTTCATTTCAATATCATTACATTTGGTTTTTAAAAATTCATAAATATGTTGTTCTTTATCGCAAAAAGATCGATCGCTGTAAATGAGTCAGTGATTATATTAACATAACAGATTCTACAAAATTAAAAAGAGGTACTAGAAGCACAGGTTGGTCGCGAGATGATCTCTGGCCACCGTAAGCACGGACCTGCGGACCAGACCCAGGTCTGACCACCACAGATGAGGCCCAATAGGGCTGATGCCGATACAGAGCCGCGGTCTTAACGGGTTGCCGTGGCGGGAACATGGTGGCCTTTAGTCCGTAAGAGTCGCACATTCCTTCTTGCCTCACCCGGGCGGGAGAAGTAACCGAATGATTTCCCCCTCAAAAAATATAGTAGTTTTTTTTAAATACTTTTGATATTCTCCGCGGACTCGTTTCCCATGTCCGTGCTCTTGTCATTCAATTACAAATTTTTTTATAGGTAATATTAATTGTTAATACAATCTTGGTAGTTAGTAGGTACATAGTACAAGCTCGAAGGAAACATTCCAATGTTTGTCTCGGTGATCGCATCACGCATGGACTGGTGTCGATCATTCTTTGTTTGTTGTTTGCCTTGTCATTGTGTCAGCAGGTCCTTGTAATAGAACATTTGGTAAACCGTATTTGAAGTACTTTGACCATTAATTGAGTACGTCATTCATTATTAATGATGGAAGCGTGCTGAGCAAAGATATTCGATACTTATACGTAGGACGTACCTGTATGTAATTTAGTATTGCAATTACCTGCTTATAATTCCGTGCTTACATTCTTAGATACACGGCACGTATCAGTGAGTGCTTGTAGTTATTGAGCGTGTCTTGTGTGTACGTCTGTACGTCTGTATGTATGTATGTATGTATGTATGTATGTATGTATGTATGTATGTATGTATGTATGTATGTACGTACTTTTAGATTGTGTTGAGTTTGTATGAAAAGACTTTGCAACCCCGTGTACTTCTCAATCTCAAGTTCATTCCATAGTCAAAATATCTGTTGAAACATTCACAATCGCGTAAAAAGTATTTATTGAGTAAGCATTATTCACTGAACGGCCCGAGTGGCCCGACCAGATAGCACAAACAATAGTATCGGGCATGCAGTGCACGCGGCTACCTGCAGCCTGCAGCCCTGCACTACCTGCGCCGCCACACGGAGCCGCGCCATTGTCTGCTTGCGTCACTCCTGCTCGTGCGTCGTGGATCAAATAAAAACCTGGCGAGCTTTGTGCTTTCTTTCAAACGACAGGTGCAACACTCGCGCAAACAACTGTCCCGAGTAATCCAGGGGAGCCCTACCCTGAGCTACTACAAGTACTAGATATCTCGCAACAGAGGTCGCCACAGCCACCGCCAGCCTCGGACGATGACTAATACCTCGGGGCCAGATAGCTGTATCATTTACTTATCTTAAGTATTATCTCGCCTCTTTACTGAGTGGCCATTTCTTAAAATAACACAAACATGATTCACCCGGAACCCGACACACTAGTAGTAGGAGAGCCCATGAACGGATTTCGGTGCTTACTCGAGCACCCCAGATTAACATATGGGAATACCTAGAGTCATGTAGAGTGTACCCACGTACCCACCATATACCTGGCCTGACTAGGTGGAGGGGGGATTAAATATTTAAAATAATCTAACTAAACACAGTCATTCTCGTCAGGTAAAGGGAAGAGAGGTCTAGAGAACACTAAAGGAAGTATCTAAAACATCTGCCTATTTGAGCGTGACTTCTAACAGTGAGAGTGTTTTGAATGGTTCAGGATCATGGGTAAAAACACGGACATCCAGCCCCAGCACGCCCACCGGCACATTAAGGGTCTATATCCGAGACACACGGAGCTACACTATCAATACCTGACACGCTCGACCACATGGACAATATGGACATAAGTTACGTGCGCGTCACAATTGTATGGATTCCCCTTCCTCCGCCGGTGGAAGCAAATATTACGTACTAAGCTATTTTTAACCGACTTCAAAAAAGGAGGTTCTCAGTATGATTTGTATGTATGTACGTATATAATATGTATGTACATACTGTCCGCGAGTACATACGTGTATGTGTGTGTGCGATTATCTCTGAATCGATATTGATGCGATTTTCAGATAAGTGTTTGTTACATTTAGGAGAAGGTTTTAGAATATTAATTAACCGACTTCAAAAAAGAGGGGTTGACGTCGGGTTTTTTAAACAAAGTTTATAAAATAATTATTTCTTTGTATTCAAATTGCAGTAGGTGCAAGCCTCCAAGTAAATCCAAATTCTGCTTCGTGGTCTCTCCTACTGCAGTGCAGCAGTCGCCAGCAGGGCGCTGCAACTGCTGCAAGGCGGTGCAGGGCCAGTCACGTGAAGCCGCCGCGTGATTACCTAACTGATCGCCAGCCGAGATGTGTGTGCTCAGAGACAAAGTTCAAAGCAATCACTAATCACTAATTACACATCGCTTATGTCTCTCATTATTGTGTTTACCTATTTACTAACTATCATAGAGACTAGATACCACGCGCGAGCAAGACGCGACGGTCTGAGTTCTGCATCAGCGACCACAGCAGGGACTGTGGCGTACACACTTCAGCACTTCCATCGCCCAGATCTGAGAATACTCAGTTATTGTTTAGGCAGTATACTGCTTTGACGTTTGTACACAACTATCGAATACCAAATGAAACGACCAGTCTTCTCTTCTCTTCTAATATCAAACACAATTCTTTAGTAAAGCAGATTGCTTCACTAAATCTCATCACGCGAGATCTCGTCCATTTTATTTTATAGAATACTAGCAACCCGCCCGGCATCGCACGGGTGCAATATGCATCTAAACCTCCCTTAATAATCACTTTGTCTTTAAAAAAAAACGCATCAAAATCCGTTGCGTAGTTCTAAACTAAATATTGCATGTATTGTACGCCCTAGAGGCAAAACATAGCGCTCTCAACATATTACATAAGAACTTATAATGTACCTATGTTTTACAATGAATAAATGAATCTTGAATCTTGAATCTTAAAGATCTAAGCATACATAGGGACAGACATACGGCGGATAGCGACTTTGTTTTATACTATGTAGTGAAGCCGGGAAACGAGCACTTGGATCACCCGGTGGTACGCAATCGGCGCGGCCCATGGACACCCGAAACACCAGAGGCGGTATATTACCTTATTAGGAATTTCAGGATTTTTGGGTACTCGGGAATTAGGGAGATTGCGGAGGAGGGTAGTTGGGCCTCCGGAAACCTCACGCACACGATGAAACACAACGTATGCGTTGTTTATCCATTATTCCATTCCATGTACATTTTTTCGAGATTAAACCGAGATTAAACTCGCTAATCGACGACATCTTGCGAAAGTGAGATCTCGCGAGAACGACATTGTTTTCCCTAATTGAACATGGTAGAGAAGGTAACGGATGGTGAAGCGGACGGACGGCGCCGCGCGGCGAGTGATCACTGCGGCAGTGACCCCGCACTGTGTGTCAGTGTGCGTCATTACAAGTAGCTCACACGATGTTCTGTGGAAGTTAAACGAATGAAGATAAAGTTATTTTATAGATCTCATGTTGTTGTGCTTTTGTGGAATATAGTCGACGGATGACCGGGGGACGGGGTGAGCAACCGGAGGAATTATTACACCTTAACACCTGCAATTATGTGACGCCTTATGCAGATAAGGGCATGAGGATTTTCCATTTTGGGGACATAAATGGAGGTCATAAACTACCAGTATATGCTATATACTGGTAGCTTTGTTCAAGGGTGACATGGCCAGCGAGGGAGCGTACAGACAGTGACCGCACGACCCGGCGCGACCCGCGATACGGCGGCCTCGACCCTCGCGCTGATAGCGCCGCCACCGCCACCTACTCGCACCGCGAGCACGTTCTGCACACTTCAGCAACTACAACATGTCCACGATGCGCTACAGCTTCTTATTGTCCACTATTTCACACGACATTTACTTAAATATTTCAGTGGAATGAATGCCAAGGCAGTGTAGAACGTAAGGGTGAGGCATTTGATCAGCAGACCGATTTGATAGAAGCGCATAGAACTATAGATAGACCCTACCTTGTAACAGAGACGAGTGCTCGTGGTGTGGTGGCCGTAGCACTCAGAGGACGCGACGCGACTGGCCCGCGGCGCGGCGCGACCTCGCGTTGTCCAGCCATTGTCCTGTATTTGGCGCGGAGCACATCGCCGCCAGACCTCGCCAGGGCTGCTATGGTTATTTGTTGTGTAATGCTTTAAGTATGCTCCATGTCTACCTATCTGTATTTTCTTAAAACTAAAACCAGGTAGATATTTATTGTTAGGAATTAGGACAGACCGTATATAGGTTGATCCTATATGCCTACGGCTACGAAAGTATTATTTAGGTATAATATCGGACTGCACGGCTCCGTGGCTGTGCCCCGGTCCGAGCTGGTGGACGAGGGCCTACTGCCGCCGACCCTGTATAGTATTTGACCACCGCGCTCCTCGAACTACTGGCAGTGAGCTATCGAGCCCGTGCGGCGCGGTGTGGAGACTGTGTGACGTATGCTGGATGCGCCTCGTTTGAACGTACATAAAACGAACACTTCTACA